CCTGTCCCCTCGCCATAAGCTTCCTAGGCAACTAAGTCTCTTACGACACCCACTGAAAAGGAAGTGGTAGCCTATTCTACGCCGGGACCTACACGACAAGACTTTGTTTAGTAATTTAATATTGGAATTAAGTATTTTTTTTAAAAAAAAAAGGCATTTTTATCATGACAAAATTAGAATATTTGATTTTAGAATTATCTGTGGATCTAACCGCAAGGTAAAGACAAAAGTATGTCGTGTTTTAGTCATAGTATTCCCCAATTTTTACTGATCGAGTATATAAAGGCATGCGTTCAAAAGAAATCGATTGATCTATACATATTAATACTCAATGATACTATTGATAAATAGTTCTTTTTTATGACACTAATATAAATAGACAGTACATTTTTTTTTTCTATTATTCATAACAAATCACAAACAATTGCGGTTACTACTAAACAAATACTCCACAAACCAAACACCAAACGTAACCAATTTCCTAACTTAAACCTGAGAGTTTAATTGGTGGGCCTCGCCACCTAATATTGAATGAATTTGATTCGTGGTTAGAAAGGTTGTTTGGGGATTAGATCGGACCTCAGGTCAATAAGGCAGGGGCAGGTAGCGCAACCGCACACACGGTGGTCGCTCTCCGTCATTCAATACCAGAGCCGGGCTTCATACGAAGATGCTATGAGCTATTTAATGCATATAAAATAAACTACAGTCATAATAATTAGTGTCCAGCAAAACGATAAATAAATAATATGTAAGATCACAGTGTATTCATTTAAAACGACGTACACCATAATTAAAGCGCAGTAGATGCCTTTTCCAAAGGTAATGTGACTAATATTAAATACCGTAAATCTTACAATTTAGAATTTAATTTTTTTTAGTATAGGTAAGTAATGATATGCTATACGTAATTATTCTGCATGTAATTTCGGATGATATAAACTTTAAAGTCATAAAAATAATTTTGGTAGATAGTTCAGTCTTGCGTGTCAGAAAACTAAACGCTTTATCCGATCACTTCCTTCCCAATCAAACATTGAATAATGTATCTAACCATGATATTAAAATGTAACACGATAAATTAATTTAATCTTTTTTAGAACGTACAAACGAGCATCCAGCTCACTTGATGGTTAGTGAGTAACACAGTCCTCCAGCATCCGCTATACCGCAGGAATTGCAGGTATGGTAACAATCCTTTAAAAAGGAATATGCTATTTTCTTAAAGGTTACGATGCCGTATCAGTTCGGAAATACTACTGCTGGAAGTTGATTCTAAAGTGTGATTGTGCACGGAAGAAAGTGCCTTGAAATTCGCACGGTGGCAGACCGCCACTCATCCAGATGGTTGGGATGGAAATATAGTTTGTATTGAATTTTAGACGTACACTTGTTAGAGTGGTTATAATTTTCATGACAATAGTAGTGTATTGTCTTTGAAGAACGAAATGTTTGCCATCTTTAATCTCTCTATTTAGGTATCTTGGTTTTGGCGATGTTACAGCATTTTAAAATTGGCTATTGTGTGGCAATACAAATTAGTCTTTACGTTGAGCTTCATAGATGAAACATCAGCGTTTACAATACTAGAGAGTATACAAAGATTAAATACAGTAGTATTATTGATTAATCACAATAAACGTAAGAATGCCAACAATCAGACAGTGCGGCTCCGATACATATTTTGCGTTTAATATAATCATCATTACCACATTCATTATCGTAATTTTTACTTATGAATGAGTTTCCACTAAATTGTTATGAAATTGCTCATATACCCACATAATATGCAAATGAAAGGCTAAATATTTGCATGCTCATGCATATTACAATCTGGGCTTTGCCTCTTGTTGTTCAACATGACTGTAAATGATGCAAGTTCATATAAGCGAGAAAGGACTCTACAATTATTGTATCCGGAGCCTGCCATCATCTGCACTTCGATTAAAGCTCGTATAAAAGCAGCTTTGGTGCAAGCGCGTATTATTTTTAGTTGAATTTGTACTTTCACTGATTGCAAAAATACTTCAAAGTCTAAAAAAATCGTTACAACTGAGATCATGTAAAAAAGTGTTATAAATAGAACGGTTTAATCAAGGAGATTAATAACCATCTGTGAAGAAGCAAATGGCGCTAAATTCAATTTCCCTAAGACAGAATACGTGATAAATTGTTCTGAATCGGCCATTAGATGCGACGCCGCGTGAGGGCCCGAAGCGTCAGCAGTTTACACGTCTTATTGCTTGTCGTGCAGGTCGCAAGTTCTCAGCGTCGCGTCGCCCGCGTCGCGGCGCGCAATAAAAACATCAACCGTATTGACCAAAATAACTCTTGGCACTCATTCGAGAGCCCGACAGATACTGTAAAGTGAAGCGATCCATGATCTATACAGAACTCCACAAGTATATTAAGTCGCACTTCGAGGTATACCGAGCAGACGGTAAGGACTGATGAACTGAGGGCACCGAGCCAACATTAACACATTATATATATTTTATTTGGTGATTGATAAGTCGTATAAAGACTGCATTAAGATTATTTTGTTTTATAGTAAGTATAATTTCGTATAATAGCTACGCCATGATAGAATTGTATCACCTGGGAAACATTACATAAACGTTAAATAATTATAAAATATAAAGAATACTGAAAGGCCCTTAAAAAATAAAAGGTATAAAATAACAAATAATGAATATAATGTATCAGAAACAAAATAAGTATAAATTTAATGCTTTGCTAAGCTGTTCAGAACGTTGACATATAATAGCAGTTCTTTCTAGGTAATATATCAAGTTACTACTAGGTTTACAATTTAAAATTATTTGATTATAAATGAAGTTCTGGCTTTAAATCAACCAAATTGAGTATATACATGATACATTCAGGTATTGACAGAAAGAAAATAAACATCTAACAGGACTATTCACGATCTTTAATAAAATAATAGTTTTTTAGAATAAAAGGTTTATCTCGGATATATATTTAAATGATCCTGTTAACAATTTTGGCATTTTTACATAGTATTAATTTTATTTAACCCAGAAATAGTACACATATTAATGATATCATACACAATTCAGATTTAAGATTATTAATAATTATTGCAATGGAACTAAGCAATAAAAACGTGTATCATATTTATTTTACGTAATCTATCTTGTTACATTTCTTAATAAAATTATGTTTTGCATAATTTATTTACAACTATGCAATAATATACCTAATAATAATGACGTAATTTAGGTATACTTAGTTTTTTTTTTTGGATAACCATAGTTTCTTTTGTTTCCAATATAAAAATAAGCTACTAAATTATTCTGAAGTTATGAGATACAGGTATGTATAAAATAAAAATACAATAAGCATATTCGTTATCTAACAGAGATTTTCATCTTGTTATCCAGGCCCTAAAATAAAAACGTCGGCGTTCAATAAATCTATGGCATTGAATTATTTCGTCTGTTCCTTTTGAGCTAAATAATATTCCTAATAAAAAAAAATATATACTTATTAATAAGAGTATAATATTTTAATTTGAGGTTTAACAATCTTTTTGTACAATACAGAATGTTTTAAGAGAAAAATGGACGTTGGTAATTTAGAATCGGAAAATAAAGGATAATAAATAGACGATGAATCTATATAACATTTTCTACTAATTTATGATCTGATATGCATTTTAAATGGATTGATTTAGCTAAATACTAAATAAATATACTAAATAAAAGGTAAATGAAATAATATAAATAAGTACTTTTTAAACTAATTAAGTTACTTTTACTGTTCTTTTTTTTATTTTTTATTACAGGGTACAGAGGGATAACACTTTAGTCCTCAGGAATAGCAACGATAGAAGGGTATATAGGTGACACAATACGCTCTATTATGTACAAGGTTGCTATTCATATCGATAGGCGACGGCTACTATTTTCCATCAAGTGGTCTTGTTTAACGTAAAACAAAAATGTTTATATTTTCTTTGAATATTTTTTATTATAAAATTAACCAATTTCCGGTTTATTTTTAGACAGAAACGATAGAAAACTTTTCTGGTAACTAAAAAGAAAAATAATCGTAAAATAATAAAAATAAATATTGTATTTAAATAATTTATCTCTGTAAATATAATAAAATATTTCTTTAGATTAAAAATCTAACCTAAACACACTAGCATTCTATAGCCGCCAAAATTGATAAAGTACTTGGTTTTGTTACAGATTTGATGTTATATATATATAGTTTATTGCTGCTAAACTATGTTTTCAACTACTCTAATAATAAATTTTGTTTAAGTACCTATCTAAATAGTTAAGTAAAAATAAGAGATGTGTAAAATAATAATGATAAAATAAAACGACAGTGATAGATTGTTTTTGTACATTTATTAATTAAATAAATGTAATAGTTTACATCTACAATAAATTTACTTCATAATCTTTTGGAAGAAATAATAAAGGATATCTAATAGATTTAAATAGTAAATCAAGCAAAATATCTTTACCAATAGGTGTTAATCAGCTATTAAAATATTCATATTATATTTAGATAGAATTTCGTATCTTAGGCAAAAAACCTGGATTATCTACGATTTCAGAGTACCAAGTAGTTTTGTATGTCACATCAATAAATATAAATACTGTAAATTAATATAATAATATATGTATTTACTACCTATCTATGACTAATAGTATAACTAAAAAAAAAAATTAAACGAATTACAAAAAATAGATACCTTCTTTTTATGTATATAAAAGTCTTTTATATAAGTTTTAGAAAGTATATTATAATTTTTTTTTTCGAGTCTAGAAATTTTCATAATTCTTTAATTAATTAAAATAAAAAGTTATGTTTTAAACACTTTTTAAGTTTTAATAGCTCTCAGTTGTCTTAATTAGTTAACATAAAGTTTACATATCTCGTGAGATACTAATAACTATGTTAATAATTTGCGAAAATATTTTAAGAATGTTTTTGTTTGTTTTCAGTAAATAAATACTCACGACTGGGATAAAATTTCGAATAATAACAGTCCATGTCACTCGTTATGAGAATCACTGCATCAATATGAAATCAATTTCACTGTCAATTTGTTTACCATTCACACGCGAATTACATTAAAAACATTTGACATTTCATAAAATACGCTGACAAGTGACATCACTGCGCGCAGAATACGTCAAATCGCATGCAGCCACCAACGCGACTGAAGTGTATCGCGGACTATCACGGGCGAACGATACCATACCGCGTCTTTCGAAAATTGCGCCATCCCAGTAAGCACACTCAAGCGAATTTAACAACACAAAAGCACCTTGAGCACACTTCATTCCCGACAGCCTGCACAAATGCGGCCAAATCTCAAAACTAGATAATGTTTACATCGCGAAATGCCGACAGCCGAACGACCGGAAGTCGCAGAGGGGCAAACACGACAACTATGTAAAATATTGCAGGATCGCGATCGCATTGTTGACATTCCCGAATAAAATTCACCAAAATCTCGTTTTAATTGTATGAAAATCACATAAAAAGTAATTTTTACTTACCTATTATGGTGTTTGAAGGTGAAGTGAAGGGGCGAATTTTGATTAAATGATAATTTCGGAGTAAATTTAAAGAATATACTCTTATTGGTATGCGAAGAATGGCACAAAGAATCCCGACAACGCACGCGACGAATGCGCACCTCGTTTGCGCATATGCTGACACAACTTCACGGACGTTACTCCCCTTGCCCCGCACTCACCCGGTTTTGTGTGATTGTGTATGTGCTCAGAGTGGTCAAACATGAAATTGTGTGTCTGTATACACGCACACATGCAAACATTGTACCTGCCCTAGCTGACTCCCGCTTTCCGCCATCTTTGATGTGACAGAGATCGAGCATTATTCTATTTCAACTTTTACACTGCGTGGCGCCATCTAGTATTTCTTTATTAATTGAAGTATTTTACGGTAGATAGCGCTTAAATAACTTGTTAAAAGAATCGATTAAATACTTCGAGGGTTTTTAGACACGTATAGCTATGACAAAAGTTCACTTTTGTTTAATATACTTTTGGTAATATCTGTTCAGGAGAGCCTTGATATCTTTTTGCTATTATAATATTGTTTATGTTAGGAATCTTAACAGTATCGCTGCAGTGAGATTTGGTCAACTATCTGGTATGGAAACGTTTAGACCAAAACTTTTTTTATTAATTATATTGAATATATTGTCTGTATAAACCAAGCAAGGTGATGCATTATTATCCTAATTCATTTTAAGAATCTTGAAAAAATTATTCGTTAGTTAATTCGTTAATTAGTTCCTTGGTTAGCACTAAGCTAGAATTATCTACCTGTTCTCATGAACTTTTTAATTAACATTTATATTGTAGGAGCTAATAAAAGTAAGCTTTGTTTTTCTACTACGAATGAACTAGCCAAAGACCAAGCTTATAACTATTATAAAGCCTGTGTAATTACTTTAATCTACTTAAAGTAATTATATGAAGAGGAAATTGTTTACAACGATACAATGAAAATGCAATATATTTGTAATTTCTCATGTCAAATATTCTCGTTTTCAAAGCCAAAGAATTCGAAAGACGGATGGAAAATAACTAGAAAAGTATTTTTAATGAAAGACATTATTAAGGAAAACTTTCTATAGTTTTTAAGCGGAAGTTCATGTGAAGAATAAATAGATTGCGACTGATAAAATAAAAATAAAAGTTTCAAGTCTTGTTAATTGTGTTAATTATGTATCTGTCATTAAAATGACGAACAAGTTCTGAGAAGAAATTAATTAGTATTCCACGAAAAAAGACTAATTGCCGCCACACCAGTAATTTTGATTTAAAAATGAATTTATTGAACCAATTTTGATAAAAATTTTTTGGGCCAATCTGCAAGGATATCCTTTCAGATAAAAAAGGAATTTTCAAATTGAGAACTTCCTTTTTTAAAGTTGGTTGAAATACAGAAATTTTATGAAATTGAATTTAATACAATCCCGGATACGTGAAAGTACAATATGATTTATCTGTCGTGGACTCTGCGATATTTGCTGTAAATAACGATTTAAGAAGCATACGAGAATAAGTGTATATTCTTTAAGTAGTAAAATAAAAAGTAAACAAATAAATAGTTATTCGTGTTTTATTTAATTTTTTTAAACATAAAACTTGATCATAATTTTCTTTTGTTTAACTTTAACCCAAAACTTCAGTAGTTGTGCTTTTTATTCTTAAGATTTGTTACAAACGGGACTTACCTATTGTATTCTTCTTTTATACCATGCTTCATAATTGTATAAATTAAATAAAGAGGAGTATGTACAGTTAACTTTTAACTCACGATTTATAAAGGTATTTATGTAGTTTTTAGAGTATGCATATCTATAAGCCAATCGAATACACAACTACTTAGTAAAGTCTGTAAAGTCAAACTCGAATTTTACTAGCAAATCCACAAGTAGTTTACATTTGGTATTCTTTAGTTTTCAAAACTCACTTTACATTACTTCATTTTTCATACCTAAAGCTTATAGTATATGAAAATTAAATGAAGTGAAAGTGAAGCGAGATGAGAAATGAAGTGCGGAATTTTATAGAATACAGTAGTTATAGAGATATTGTGAAGCTGAATTATTACTAGTCATATCGTTATTATCATTACATATGTAAATCTACCCCCCTAGTATGTAATACCTAATTTAGTTAGATGTGAGTAATACTATAGGTAGTTTAATAAATAATGTAAAGACATATTAATATAAGTCATTTATTACATAAAACCCACAGATCTATTGTAGATCCGAGCACAAAATTAAATATTAAATATATATTGTTACACCTACATAGGTAGGTACATATTTTCCACGGAATTGAATAAAAGCGCAGCATTCAGTCGCTTTTTACTTAAACTAGATATACTATTAATAAGAAATTACAATACTTATTAAAAATACTAAACGAGAAGTGAAAATATTTAAAGAAATTGAAGAAAAAATAATAATTATGTACGTACCTACTAAATAACAAAGTATTTATATTAACTATATAAGTATCTATGAAGTTAAAAGATTTACATTACAAATTCACCTCTTACAACGTTTTTTCAATACATTATTGATGAAAAAATGGTATAATAGGTCGAAGGTTTAAATAATTAATATAATAGGATAGCATTAGATAAAATAGGCACGTCTATTTCATAATTTATTACCTATATTATATCTATTATCTTTAATGAGTCACAGATCCATTAATTTGAATTTAATGATATTGTTTTAAAGACCTCTACAGCGCAGTGGTAGGTATATTGTTTTACCTAAATAAGACTTCACTTCGGTTCACGGTCAGCCCAATTTATAATTTTTTTTTTCATTTGATTCGAATGTGGGTATTCTGGACTTAAGCCCTTTGACTTCTTTTAATATTTACATAATTATCATATTAAGAGACTCGTGTTTGTCCAACTACAATATTTATATGTTTGTCTAAAATAGAAACTTCCTGATTGTTATGGAATATCAATGATATTGTAATAATATTATTATATTATTTTACCCCAATAATAAGAGTTTCAAACTCCAGTTAATAGTAGTAAGTTAATCACTCAGGGAAGATTTTGTCTTAATGTAGTTGGCAGATTTGTATCTTTTGGAATTTATGTATTACGTAATTTTGTCATCACATATTTTTCTTGAAAAGGTTTTTAATTTTATATTTTTAGTTTTAATGTTGTTTTGAAGATGCAATTCTATTACAGTCAGTAAGTAGTCATAAGTCATAGAGGATGAAGTCCTTTATATACAAAAATAAGTGGATAAAATTCAGAACATCCAGATCAATCATAGTTAAAAAATGAGTGTACTAAATATAAATTGTACTGATCATCGAACTTACCTTATTCACGCAAAGAAACGAAAAAGAGTGTAGTTGCCTTAATATAGCACGGAAGTTTTGGAAGTATACATAATTATTAGAGAAATGAAAATCACCTTACTTTACTAACTGAGGCGTTTGTGCGATGGCGAATATAGAATAAGTTCATCTATCTAAATAACAACTACAAAACTATATATTATGTATTAACTATAGGTAATTATATTACTAATATGTATAACATGATGACATTAGTGACGTTAGTGGGTAGGTACCCAAACTATTATTGTTTTAATTCAATCGAGTCGATAGTGAAGCATCATTTATTTTCTCTATAATTATAACTTCAGTTTGATATCGAAAATCAGTGTGAATTAAATTAATAATAGAATTTTGTCTGAATTACTTGACACTTATTGCAATTTGTCTTGCAGTAGTCTTGTATGATACCGCGCAAGTAGATAGACAAAAATCTAAAATTTGTTATTTTTGCCTCTATTGTTCTTCGGCTTGTAGGCCTTACACCCATCATATCAATTGTTTTTGAAATATTTCATATGTATATTACATACACTTTGATGATTAATGGCTAAGACAACAAATCACAAAATCGATTTCTAATTTGTGTCAACATGTTATACATAACCGTTAATGATCGACGTCGGCAGTTTTATTAATATACAAAATGACTCAGGTGTACAATAACAATTTTGTATAAAATTACAACGTTTTTAATAATAACGATAACAAAATAGGTACTTAACGATAAAAGTCGAATCGTGTTTCCATTGTTCATTGTAACAAACGGAGAATATTCTTTACATATATTGACAATTTATCTATTTGACTAGGTAATCAATAACTTATCGCTACGTATCATATGCGATGACATGGCAGAAGGTGTTTGGAGTTTGAAATGACGAAAAGATATTATACTGATTTCGGTCGTAAGGTCGGGGGATCGCCCAAAACTTAAACGCTGACATTATCTTCTTCATTGAACTGGGATTACCTTTACAAAAGATACACATATTTTGCGCGTAATAATTATGGAAAATTATCCGTTAAATTATCAAAGTAATTATCAAAAATAAAAATTTTATTAACTGTAAGTACTTTTTATTTAAATCAGTTTTCCTTTAATATCGTTTCTTTTAATGATTTCTCTTAAGTGATTTTAGATATATATCGAAAATTAATGATTTTATTGTACTAGGTATTATATTGCGGGATTCGCTAGTTATTTGGAAACCATCCTGGCTAATTATTGTGGAATTCGTCACGATGGGCTAACTATCCTGCTTTTATCCACACTTATCATCCCTTACTGGTGCTTTACCAGTGTATATCGATGGCGATGGTGGGATCACTAATTCATTTTCACTTATTAACAAAAAAAAGTATTGCCCTTCAGTTATTCCCATGCCGAGTGTTGGCAGTCACACACATAGTAAAGATAGCGGAATTAAACAAAATAATTCTAATTAAACAACCAGTAAAAGTCTATACTACGCTTACAAGAAAATAATGAATTACATAATAATAAGAGCATTATGAATATTAACAGATAAAGTTTAAGTACGTAAAATATATTTCATTACAGATATTCGCAAATAAGGACAACACGCTTTTGTAAAAAATATTTTGTTTCTGCTTTGGCGTATTAAAGATTATTTTCCAGGGTGAGCCTGGTCCCTTAAAAAGGTGTGTAAGTACATTCAGACATATTTTTGTGAAGCTTCTCTCGGATCCTGGTGTGGGAAACAGACAATTTTGGGGTGGGCACTGTCCATCCGGCCCCCCTTTAAATGCGCCTATGTATTTCTCCCGTAAATAAATAAGACTTTCAAATTTTAGAATCTGTCGGCAGAAGTACAGAAAAACAAAATACTGAGTATGCATTTCTAGCACCATACTTCGATTGCATTAATTTTACTACGAGTCACGGTTATCACTCGACGTCAATTAGGTAGATACCTTAGAGTATAAAAACAGAGAATAAATTACTACATATCTACAATAATCTTAAGTCTAAATTAAATTCCCAAAAAAGATAGCAATGAGCCGAGAAATTAGTTATTTTTCTTAAATAATACATTTCTTAAATTACCTAATAACTTTTTAAGGAATATTTTCGTCGCTGTTGTGTCAATCGTGTCGTCTGTCGTCGTATTGCGTCGCTAATTAACGTCAAATTTTTTATCTTAATCTATAACCACATTACATAAGTGTAACGAAATATTACTAAAAAAACCAAATTGTACTTAATTTTTGGAAGTGTCTCAATTCGATAATTATTAAGGTATCAGATCATATAAATAGCAACCCCACAGATAAGTCATTCTGTTTATGTGGTTTTTAGGGAACCATGCTTACTTATTTTTATTTCCTACATTATAATTAGTAGGAGAGTAAGTAAAAATAAATCTGTTATCCCTTTACATTTCTATATCTTAATACCTAATCGTAGAATAAAGAGTCTAATTTTAAATCGATTGTACGTAAAAATACATGCCTACTAGGAATTAGTTAACGGACCAAAATAATATTTAATTATATTGTATATAATAATACAAAGAAGTATCTAAGCATTAAATTAAATAAAGTTAAATTATAAATTGTCGATTAAGGAAGTTAGGTTCTTACAAAGTCTATTTAAGGAAGAAGCGACGTACTACCAATATGAAATCCATACTGATTCCTTGTGACACAGTTCATAAAAATTATTTTAATAAATATTTTTCACAGATAACAATAACTTTGCTATTTGCGTAAATACATACTTAATATATATACATATGAATCAGAACATTTATCAGTCATATTGGTTTTAATAATAAGTATTTTTAATCGAGGTTAAGTAATGGTACTTAATTTTAAAATAAATAAAATTCGCACATGTAAGTACCTATATTATTTTTAAGTAAGATATGTTCATGTGTCATTTAAGTACATTGTAATATTATAGAACATATAAAGTTTCACGACAATTATATTGGTCCTTTAATTTAAGCAAATTAATTTATGAGTCGAATTAACAATACGTTATGAATAATTGAGGAAGCTAGATTATAAATAGGTACTTACAACAATTAAGGCAGTATATACATATCTACTGCCTATATTTTTATTAGTGCTTACATTAATATAAAGCCCGCCGTTATCCGATATACAATACAGGTATTTTTAAGTGAATACACGTAAGTCTCACTTAAATACTATAAAATTATGATTTATCTGTAAACCAGAAATTAAATTCATTTTAGGGTTTCATAGAAACATTTCGTTATAAATTGAGACTCTTTTACTCAACAATTATTGAGGATGTCGAGTTTTAATTCATGTCAAATTCAAGCATAAAAATTTAAGAATTTATTAACCCAGTATCATGAATAATATCGTCAGATTTGTTTACATAATTTCTCATATAACTTGTAAATTATAAATAAACAATTATCAAATTTCATTTAAGTGCAACCGAAGAGTACCATTATATATATATTTATATTTTAAGTAATCTACAATAATTTTGGAGTGCCAACCGACAAAGTCGAAATTTAAATGAATGCGAACACCTTATTTTTTAACGTCGGTTCAGACACTAATAACTACTTATACCTTAACGCTACTTATGAATCTATGGCAGGTACAAAGGCTTCAAAGAACTTTATTAAGGCTAGGATATCCATGGTGAAAGGTGGTATTAAATGATTTTTTTTTATATATTTTCAATGTACCAAGTGGATACTGCATAGTATTTGTTTCCTCATAATTTTAAATGTTTTCCTACTGGTCGGATGTGTTCGTATTCGTGTCATTATTATTTTTGAGATATAGAAATATATTTAAGTTTATTATTATTTCTCAAGAAATATTAATTTACTTTTATCCGAGTACCGAGTACTTTGAATACTGCGCAGTATTTATTCATTTATCTTTTGATTCAGTTTTTTTATATATTTCAAATATTCATCACTTTCTTAATTTAATACGTTCACAGATACGCAATAATAATTAAGCAAAATAATGGAAACGAAGATATTAACTAGATACTTATTTCGGTACTGTAATACCTAAATCACCACAATATATCTAAAGAATTAACTGTTAATTAACTGCCAGAATTGTTACTGTAAACTATTGCAAATAATAGCTATCAATGATAGTATAACTGTTAGATCCATTTATATTATTTACATGGAAGTTATAATTTTAATTCTTAAAATAATTGTCTATATCTATAACGCCACGAGGATACCAGGATCGTGCACGAGTCCTTAAGCAATGTGATTAGCATTACACACTGTTAATTTGTTTTGCTATTCGTGGGACAAACCACTTGGAGCTGATGCAGAGGAAGATCACGCACCACGATCGCGTGGAACGCCATATTTGCGGTTGCCAATATGTACTCGCATACTGAGAACCAGGTGAAAGCTGGAAATGATAATAAAAAAATAATTAAACGCCTGTATGAACAGATTCATAAATGTGGAGCGAAATAGGTATGTTTGGAGTGGAGAATTTAGCATTCATTGTTTTTGCCTATACCTATATGAGAGACAGACACCTAGATGTAACATATGTATATTTTATATAAATTTATATATGTACACAGGCAAAAATCAAAATTGATAGCGTGTAAGCATTTTTCTCAAAAATATTTAGGTACAAAAACGACAAATTTTTTTACTTCTTAATACATGGTGCATCTAGGTGACAAGTTATTATGGGAGGCACAATTTTTTTGTTATTCTACTGGCAAAAAATGCTTATTATTTACATGTCACTCTAAAATTTCACAATATATAATTCGGGATTTACGCAATATAGTCATATACATATAGGGTCTTACGTTATATAATCAAGGGTATTATATAATATTCAGTAACTTCAGACATAAAATTATATATATATATAATTTGTGACTTTACAAAATTTAGAATATTAAAATCTAACTTGTATTGGAAACGATATCATAAAGCGTCCGAAGTTGTTCCATTTTCAAAATATTTCTTTAGTTATTTTAACATAAAATTCTTGTTCCAGTTGGCTAGAAGAAATCAGATTAATTAATTGATTGTTATGTTGCTCACTGGAAATTACATTGTGTTCATTTAATAAAAAATATAACTGGTTATTTTAAATTTTTAAAGTGATAATTAATTAATTTGTTAAAATGTGTAAAGTTAAAAATCTTAGAGAAGGAAGTAAATGAAAATCACGATTCATAAAATATCTTCGGCCACTCAGAATTAATTGTATCTTACTCTATGTTAGACAAATCATGACAAGGAATGTTTTCGACAATTCTAAATCGATTTTGACGATTATTTCTTTCATAGAGAAAAATAAACGAGAGGAGAGCGTTGATTGAAATAATAAAGAGTAGAAGAGGCAAAATGCTGGGCCACCCTATACGACATGACGATTTTTTTAAGAGCATAGTAGAAGGAAAGATAGAGGGCAAAAGAGGAAGAGGAAGACCGAGGATTAACTACATGGGACAGATAAAGGAAACACTAGGCGTCATGTCGTATAGGGAGATAAAGGATATGGCCTGGGATAGAGCTGGCTGGAGGAAGATGCATGGATTGGTTGCACCGACAAGAGGAAACTCTTAAATGAAAATGAGAGAAAAATAATTTTTATATTTCTTTATACCTACTTTTTATAGATGATTCCAAACATAAAGATATAATTTTATCATAATTAAAAATCGTCTTTTTGGGGAACAATATAATAAAATTTCTATTTTAATATTAAGTTACGCCACAAAGTGCAGTGTACAGTGTAATAAATTCGACTATCATGTACCTAATCTAATATATAAGATAAAAAGGAATACATTTGTAAACATTATTTTTCATGTCCAACGGAGGTTGGTAGTTAATTTATAGGCGTGTACGAAGGTCATGCCATTTTTATTTGGCCTCATAGCCACCAGGGATAAGTATTTAAAGATTAACACAAATCAACGTTTATCAACTATTACTACATCCACAAAAATGGACTTATATGTAGATATTTAGATATTATGTACCACATACTAAAGAAGTAACTTCTATGAGCTGTATTTAAGTAATAATTAATAAGACTAGACAGCTTATTAATCAACTGCTTATTTGATTATAGTAACTATTTAATTATTAATAGGAACATCGACAGGCGAAATAATAAAAATTATTTTTGAAATTAACGCATTACAATTGAAGGTATTCGTAAATAGTTTCTATATATCGTGTCAAAATGATGATAATAAAATCGAGTACGAGTACGAGAAGGTCGTGTTGATCCCAAAATTAAATGTAAATATTTGGATAGTTAAATAAGCGAAAATATAAAATTATCTACTTAGATACGTATTATAAGTTATAAATCTACGAATATTAAAGACGTGATGTGTTCATTTATAAACATATATTTTTCTAGAGACTAGAGATGTGGTTGAAGTCCTTTAGGTACTTTATTTCGTAATGTTGTAAAAGCGAATCCAGGAAATTCATTTATGCTTATACAATAAAACCTATTGTGTGATAAAGATAATTATGTTCCCTTCATGGGTACAGGGAACGTATGTTAGTCACGCGAAGTTTTTTATCGCGTTCTAGTAGTTATTTACCCGTTAATATGAGTATTTAGCGTGATAATACTCGTATTTTCAGATTTATGTGGAAATTTCTATACCTACAAACAATATTGTATGTGTGATGATATTTTAGTTTTGTCACTATAACTTGTTGATAATAAAGCTACAGTGGTGAAATTTAAATGATTAATATCTTTTTAATGAAGTCTGAAACCAGCAAAACTGGAATTTTACGGGAATTTTATGAACTTACTATGTTTGTCGTTTTCGATATTTGTTTTGTTTATTGTAATAAAATGAACATCAATTTTTAAAATAATATAAAATACACAGTTTCCATACAAATTTGACAAATTAACTTAGGAAAAAACACAAAAGCGTAGCGTTTGTTTTTTGTTGTTTCTACACTTTTTTTTTTGGGAGAAAATTTTCGTTTTATGTTGGTAAAAATTTTTAGTACCTAATAATAAATGTTTTCAATAAATGAATGAACGAGTATACTTTATTTGCATTATATAATATAGGAAATAAGGAAGATAATTAATAAATATAACAATATAATTGTATTAGTATAGTAAGGCGGTCTTATTGCTGAGAACAATCTTTTCAAGTTGAAGTTTTCCATTTAGTTTGAGAGTCTTAAATTTTTCCAAATATATTAAAACCTAATACGAAGACTTGTAGTCTATCTATATAGTATAGTATATATCAAGTATGTTTTTGCCAAAAGAGTCCATAATAAGAATTATATATTATTTTATTAATAATAATTATATGTTGGACAATTTAGCTTATTTCATCTAGTAAACAATTTCTGGCCTGTTACGTTCGGAGGCTTAACTTCTTAAAAAAAGAGCACAGATGTACTCATACTTTTAACTATGTCCATGCACATAGGTATTATTTCCGCTCCTGATTTTGAGGTGGGCACCAAACAATTCTACGACGGGTACCACCCGATGCTAGTACAGTATTATAATCTGTGTTCAAGTATAAAAAGTCGATTAGGCATAGATATCTACGGGTTACATTCTTACCTAAAGGCCTGCAAAGCAGCCGATGCCTCAGGAAAAATATGATAAGGCCAACAGTGGCCGCTATGGCCACGTAGAATAGTATCCACACGAGTTTGTTGGTCCTCACTGGTTGCACGACGTCGCTGGCGATGCAGCCGACGCGCGCACGGCACAGCATGTGCAGCAAGGCGGTTATCATGAACACGATGAAGATTTTCTCATGCACGACTGAAAATTAAATAATATTTATTTATTCACATTATACATTCAGGAGTGCCCTTGGAACTTGATAGAAACTTTTAATCCAGCCCGCCCCTTTAAAAAACTGTAAAGAGTTTTACCAGGGGTGAAAACGCGCACGCGACATTCCTAATGTTGCAGGCGTCTATAGGGTACAGTAACTGTTTACCATTGGATGGGCTGTATGCTTCATTGCCATCTTTTATGGTATAAAATAATTTTACTAATTACTTTTTTCCATTCATCTGTTCATAACAATCTAATAACTTTCCACTGTAGGGAATAAATCTCTCTTCTTAAGAAAAGTATGTACTACTAGTACTATACTGGTGAGACAATTTGTATAGGATGTGTTTTGTACTTTATTCTTTTAGTTGAATCTTCTTCTTCTTTGTTGTTAAAGTTCTTTTACTTCTTTCGAACACAGTAATAAAAGACTATCACCTTTTATTTTTAAAATTTAGTATTTTAAACTGATTAATTTTTTTTGAAACCAGTGTTAATACAAAATGTTGATCAGCTGAAAATAGGTATGAATATTATAATTGTACTTACAATAATTTTCTCTGTTCGAGACGTACGTCACTCCAGTCAAAGCGAATAATTCTATAAAATTGAGCCAATAGCAAGCTTCTCCTAATTTCGTCGCTAGTACGCGAGACTGTAATATGAATGGTGCATACAGATATAAAAGTAACTAATATTAAAGGGTATTGTATAAAGCCAAATGAGACTAATAATAAAATTCGTTTGTAATTTTTTATATAGTAATTAGTATAGTGTAGTTTACATAAGTATATATAGTAAATTTAATTTTTGTTAACTTGAAAATCAAAAAGTTATTTTGCGTCGAAAACTTTATGTATCCTAATGTCAATTATATTTTGTATAATATCTTTTAGGTATATACGATACAATTATTTATTAATTTATATAAACGATATTGGATTTTCCACAAAGGCTCACCTTTTCCTCAACGATATGCGCGGTGCGTTCTTTGTGATAGTTGTAGTATAAGGAACCTATTAACAACCTTGGACCTAAGTGGAACGCGACACATATCCGCCACACGTACCTTTGTGGACTTATGCCTGTAATCGCACTTATTGATGGCACTACATTGTATACCTGTAAACAAAGACAATTAATATTTTAAAACGCATAATTGATATGTAAAATTAGAGACAGAGTTCAAATAAATCAAATGAAAGTTATTTTTTTAAACATTTTGCGTCATATGTAAAAAAAAAATACGGACTAAGGACTAAAGGAATAATAATCAGTTTTAGAATGGGATGAAGCATTTTTATAATTATATACTACTTTTTTTTAATGAGTGACAATGAAATGGTAACCTCGCCTGCGCTATCGGTATACGCTGGCGAGGCACCAGTGAGAGGTGATAGGTGGGATGAAAGCAAGTCAGTCAGCCTATCGTGACAAATTTCACTAGAATTAACCACAATGGTTAATTCTAGTGAAATTTATAGACAATAGAATTTAATTAATATTGTTAAACCTATTTATTATATTTATATTACTATTTGCGTCACATAATTCTATGAATATTTATTTCTTACATAACCTACGTCCTAAAACCATTAATAGGTAGATATTTTTATAATCTTTTTTTTTATAATACAGGGGGTAAACGAGCTTGCGGCTCATATGATGATAAGTAACTACCGGCGCAACACCGTATGCTGTCGGATTTTTGAAAAATAATATGCTCTTCTCTTGAAGGTTTCGATGTTGTATTGTATACATATTTACCATAAATGTTACTGTATGGCTGTAAATGTTTAACTAATTAAAGTTATAATTAGCTAAAAATGAATACCCACCCTACAATGTGTTTCGTGTATGTCATCTGCTTGAAATATCGACGCTGTCACGTAACAAAATATTAAAGCACCAAGTGGAAGCCAGAGGGCAGTTAAACAAATCTCTCGGAGACCACATGACCACAGCAGTCCCTGAATAAAATAATATATTAATAATTATTTATAAAACTTATAATTTTATCTTTGTATTGACATGTAATCATCATTATCATCATCTCAACCATTATTCATCCATTGTTAAACGTAGGCCTCTCCCATAGACTGCCATAAAGAAAGGTCCTGAGCTACCTGTATCTACTGATGATTTGTAATACTCAGATATAAAAAGAATGTAAAAAGGGAAGAATTAAATATACGGGGAAAAGTAGGTAGGTAGCTGTAAATGTCGTACCTAATAACTCAGTTGGACTGTCCGACAGATTTCATGAGAATGATGACCAGAGGATGAAGACTAAGGTACTAGTATGGAAGAGAAAGACATATTACGTCGATCTAAAAAAATTTGAGACAAGGGAAAAACACATAAGTATACTTCAAAATATATCAATCTATGCTCTTTTAGTGCAATTACAAATCATCATCATTATTTTCCTGCCCTTATTCCAATTATTTGGGGTCGACATAATGACATTTTATTCATATTATACAAGGTTTTGACTTTTAGTGTAATAACAAATAATCTTAGTGTAACTTATTATCGAATTATATAATTCTTATAGGTGTATATCTATGTATATACATATCTGTATTAAAGATTTCTGCCTATGTTTAGCAAATCACTTGTAGTTTTTGAAATATTTTTTAGGCTTATTTAATTTTAAAAATCATTTAGGTACGTATATATATATACATTTCAGTATTTATTTGTCCCTGGATCACTATTCTGTCTCTAGATGCACTTACCTTGTATTCCAATGTTTTAACACTTCTATTTACATTGCACGCAACGCTTGTGCGGTTAATATCTTCACGCACAACCAAATTTGGTGGCGACTGTACTTGTGCGTCATTTACCATTTTATCACTCACGCTGCAATTTTGAAACGAGCTTCACATTCTACGAATTTGCCTTCACCTTACGTTTATTGATAAAATTTGGCGTACAATTATCCAACTAGGTTTACACGCATCCATAGGGAATTGTGAGCTTTTTATTACAATCGACGTTTGTTATGTTTATTAGCAAAAAAATCAAACAACGTTTAAAATTCCTTTGTGCTTTATACACGGGTGGTTTTGTTAATAAAGTACAATGATAAAATGCGTGTGGATGACCCTAGGCGTGGATTGAATGAGGTTATTTGGACTTGCGCAGTGAGCGCTTACAGAGGGGTGGGTAGCCCTATATTTGTAAGGTGTAACGTCACCTTCAGATATACGCTAGCGTTTATTTAACAGGTGAAAAAATATTATATATAACTTTCAGGGATAATAGAAATTAAAAAAAAAACAGATACTTAATTTTCATCTATACTTAACCGTAAATTGTCACTCAATTATATTAATTGCTGACCTCGAAAATAGGTTATATAATGCCATAACAATAAATATATTATTAAAAAATAAATTAATATTAAGTATTTTAGTATAAGATTTTGTTGTGCCTTAGCACAGTGTTGTTATAACGTATGAGTTGATACCATAATACTATTCAAGTGTATTGACGATGGTTGCTGTTTTCTAAGTTAAAAAGCACATCTGCTGCAAGAACTCATATAGCAAGGTGACGTCAACAATTCCAAAAAGACGTCATTCTTTAATAATTTTAGGATCGTTATGTTATCAATTAATAATATATTTCGAATGATTATGGTCCATCGCAGTGGCAGCCCATGAATGTAGTTATGGGTTATGTTATGTTAGTGTTATGGGCACTGCCTAAGATATTGTTCATGTGTATGGGCGACGGGTACCATTTTCAATTGAGTAGTTCATCGGCATGTTTGCCATTTAAAGTTCCACGAAAATTAAACTAGGAAACTTTATTAGGAGATTCTATTACATAAAATTTACTAGTACTATGTGAATTACTAAAATTAAAGTTAATACAGATTTCTTTATTTATTGATGGACATCGAAATGGCAAACAAGCTGACGCCTCATTAGAAGCATCTTTACGTAATTTATGCCACACGATGGAAAGTGGTAACTACCACCTACTGATACGCAAAACGTAATAGATATCACAAAATACACTATAGTTATATATATTTAGACTAATCCTATACAATCAAATCCAAGACTGCATGTAAGTAAAAAGAAGTAGGCACATCGATAGAATTAATTAATAATCGAACCTGGGACTTCAATTTGGTGCGAGTACCAATTCTATCGATGTGCGTACCAATACTAAATTGCACTGCATGATGCAGTAATACTAAATTAGTTATCGACTCAGATTATATCTCAAACCATCAGTGCAGCCACATAGTAGCAAAATGAAGATCGAAGTCGGTAAACACAAAAAAAAAAATGAATATCACGTCATAAGTTACTATTAAAAGAGGCGTTACAAATATTTTCTTTGTTGCTCATATAGGTATAATAATCATTGCAATACTGTTGTCATGGATGGCAAAGGTACTATTTACGTATTTGGAGTGGTAAGATAACTTGACTATTAGTTAAATATTCAAGGATTATAAAATTTTTATAAATAGAATAATTATGAACGTGAGTCCTAATTCCTACTACAGTTATTTCATATTATAAGGATACGCGGTATTTTATATACTTTTTATAGATCATTCGTTTATTATTTAAATGTTATGCCATAAAATAATATAGTAGTTAGGTAACTGTCAGTGGAATATCGCTTGCTTGAATGCATCATAGATTAAAGAAACTATGGAATGCATCACAAGTTGATAGTAAATATAAACTGACACATTTGTTTGTGTCATTAATATAATGTCATTAAGTTCACTCGTTAATCAATCATATTAAATCAAATGTCATTCATAATGTCATCCATAAATCTTTTACCAATCTCAGGTTTACGGATTGTTTTGTTTTAGTTTAAATCTTAAAAATTGTTTTTGTAAATAAAGGGTATAAGTTTTGGATGCGAGTATGACTCGTAATAGTTTAATGATGAAGTTCATAAAGATTTTGTGTTTATTCTGCTGGTATATTATTGGTATTCAAGCGACGTCTCACTGGATGGTCACTGAAAGTGGTTTAATTCAGCCCAGGGTAAGATAACAGTTTCCTGTTTAATGAATAATGCTGTTTATAATAGTTTAATAGTTAGGTATCAAGGAAAATATTAAGAGTTGGAGATTTACAAGCCTATAAAAAATTCTGTACATAAATTTCTGTTACAATTAATTGTTAATTAGTGGGTAATTGTTATGAATGAAATCTTTTTTATAGGTAGACTCACCTTTTGAAATGGCACGTCCGTATGATTTATTAGCATTCTTGAATCAAGATACACGGTGGGATAATATTATAAATTTGTACCATGATCTCTCAAAGAGACAGATTGTAATTAATAAATTGTGGGACACGGTGGAGATGGATACAGATGTGAATATGCAGTTGTCTTTAGATCCAAATTGTGTCAAAGCCGGACAACTGAATTCTCTAGATTGGTATGCATCTGTTCAGGAGGATAGCCAAATAAAAGACGTAGCTGAGGAAGAGCTTTTACTATATAATCCAGCAAGCAACCAAAACACAGATGTACCGGATTGTAAGAAAATATCTTCATTGACATTTAGTATGTTTGCATTTGAGCATTTAGAGGTGAATATTATTTTTATGATGACTTTATTGATAGAATCAGCTAAAAAATTCTATTTAAAAAAATGTGTATTCATTTTTTTTTAATTTATCCTAAAAATAACTTGTTATTTAATCTATATTTAAATATATTCATTAATAAAATATTTATTTTTGCATTGAATATTTCCAGTAATCATTATATTACTTGTGTTTTCAGTTATCATTAATCAGTTTAGAAATATAAATTTAATTCATCTTTGTTTACAAGCCCTTTTTAATTATTATCATTAGTGATTGTACTGCTGGGTTTAGAATGTTGTTACATGCTGAAGGATGCACAAGAAAGTTGATAGTTACTTTTGAGTTACAACAGTTAACAGAGCATTTATTTAAATATGCTGTATATTTTTAGTATATTTAAATATATTGACATATATTTTTTTATTAGGATAATGTGGCACTAATGAAGTAACTTATATTTTAGAGTATGATACACAGAGAGAACTTAACTGCTAACTCCGAATTGTCTTTACCTGAACAAATTTCTGCTATTATGACATTCGAACAGTTTGGGCATTGGGCTGCCACTGCACTTCGTAAAAATAGTTCCTCATGGTTGCATTACAATATGGCTTCATTATATTGGAGGATAAAGGGAAATGCACCTAAAGCTTTAGAGTGTAGTCGCAGAGCTGTACATTATGCACCAAGGTATTATAAAATGAAATAAAAATAAAGTAAAATCTGATTATTCATACTTTGTATTGCAAATTGTGTACTAAATTGAGGAAAAAGCTGATTTTACTATTTCTTTTTCTATTTTATAAAATAGCATCAATTGATATTATAAAATATAGTTATTGCATAAAGAGGATTCTTTATGTTTACACTCCATAGCAATAAAAATATTACAAAAAAAAAAACAAAATAGTCATAGTCAGTGACAAACTAAATGTTGCAACTTGACTCTCTTAGTATTAAACACTATTTGTGTCTTTATTCTTTGTATTGTTTTTAATATTCATCTTTTCATAGTTCAAAGTGTTCGTTTGTGTATAATCTGTAAAGATTATCAATTATATATTTTTTGTTAGTACAAATAAAATATTCAGTATAAAAATACAATCTCATAAGCTTAATACCTATACTACTATAATTTCCAGGGAATTATGAAGGCAAGTAATTTATGAATAATATTTATAAAAAATAATATATAGAACAAATAATTATATATTAAAAAAATGTTTTACTGACAATGTAACTCAGTATTTATTTTCTACGTTATTTCTAGGATTTATAAAGACATAGCTCTCCTCAATCTTGGATCAATACTTCATCTTGGTAAAAGAACAGAAGATGCCATCACAGTTTTGAGTGCAGCTGTCGAACATGATCCAAGATCTTCCCTGAATCATTTCATCCTTGCCAATGCTTATGCTGTTTCTGGAGATTTTAACAGTTCTCTAACACACTATGAGTTATGTCTTAAATATAATCCCACATTTGAGTTAGCACAGAAGCATAAATATGGAGTGTTGTGTCATGCTGCAATGTTGAAAAAAATGATGAAAATTAGACAGTAAGTGTGAAAAATTATAATACACTAACTGACCTAGCAAACACTGTTTTGTCCCTTACCTACCCACCACCTACCACTTATCTGATCTATTTTTACCTATGGACATAAAATACTATCCTGTCTCCAGTGGAGGATTTAAACATTTGCTACCAGTAGACAAATTAAATTTTACTGCCCTACCACCATCTGCAATTCGGTACTTTAGTTCACAAACATATTAATTACACTTTTTTTATCAAAAGGAAGTAACTTTCAGCCTCAAATTGGCTATCTCTAAAATCTACCACCCTATGCTCTAGCCTATGCAGTCTGCTAGCAAATTGCCACTGTTTATCTCTCAAGTAGGAACAAACACAATAACAATATTGCATAAATTTTTTTAAACAGTTTCAGAGAATAATTTGAAGGAACATTGTGATAATTTTTATATAGGAGTATATATAACTTCCATATGAGTTTTAATCTCCTTCACGAATATCTTTTTGAGAGTTGAATTTTCTATAATCTTTAAAAATTTAATAAAAAACTTCTATATTTTGCATATTTTCTTATCATTATCATATTTAAAATTTGTTGTCTTTATTAGTGTGTAAGTATCGTTAGACGCAACTAAGGGAACTGAAGATTGTTAAGGGAATTAAGACAAATAGTCGAGAGATTGGCAGCAGCATCCCTCTCAAAACATCTTCAATGCTTAACTGCAGTTGACAACCCGCCTGCCAAGTGTGGCAACTACTGGCAAACCCCCCTTATGAGGGAGGCCTATGTTCAGCAGTGGACAGTTAACGATTAATATGTTAAATCATAAATGTTAAATAACATTGAATTATATTTGCAGAGTATTGGATTTGCTTCAAGAAGAATTAAAGGAATACAATGGCAGAGAAGCACATTGGTTAAAATCGCAGGCTGCATTTTTGAGAACAATGCGACATGATGAAGAGTTTGGTAAGTTCAATAATATGTATGAAACAATGTATATATCGATTACTCACCGCAGCAACAAATAAGGAAGCTTTGTCTATATAATTATCTAAACCAATCCTTTATGGAATATGGGTACAATTTATTGATTGAAAATATGTCCTTATTGAGTCTGCCTGTTTATCTATATTAATTTTGGCATCATTCAAAGTTTTCGAAACTGTACGATATTGAAGACATTTATCATATTTGTGTTCTTGAAATTAAAATCTACATGTTTTATCGCGATACACTATTTAGAAATGATTTAAGCCAAATTTTATCTGAATCCATTCAATAGTTTTTAATAGAAATTTATTTACTTTTATATTTATTATATATGTTATTATTTACCAGATTTCCGAAATGTGGAAAAGAACTGTGAAAAAATGTCAGAACTAACTGGCCTTAATATTAAGGATTTGAAGAAACAGGGTGATAAAAACTATTTAATTCAATATTTTCTTGATGGCCCTGTGTCTGACTATGAATGGTCAGACAAAAAGGGTATATTAGCGATAGAATGGGCTTACAGTTTGCAAAGGTTGGTTAAACATGTGGAAAAACATGCTAGCATGGGACCTAGCTTTATGCAGCATGAACATTCCAAATTATTAGATTTAAATATACAGAAAGAAATTGGCCCGATGCCTGTGTTTTCAGATGTAAAAAATGATGTTAAAGGTATGTTATGATTTTTTTTTTAGATTTTGATGTTTAGGTTTAAGGAAGTAGTAAATTTGATTGTGACCATTTTTTTAATAACTTATAAACAAAACATATTGCACTTTGTATATGTACAATATGTTTTGCCGATTTTCAAATGTTTTTAACAAAAGAGATTTTTAATTAACTGAATTTTTTCTTATGCGTCACTCAAAGCGAATATCTTCATCAATTCTCGATTGCTTCAATATTATTTGTTTTAGTTGAAAAGGTTTACTTTTTGACTGGTCTCATTTTAATTTTATCACAATTGTTATGGTGTTTCTCATACTAATTTTGTCAAGCTTAAACTCAGTTGTTTTTAGAATAAAGTAAAATAAAAGATAAAAATAGTCTTAAATAATCTTAAATGAGCTGATGGATTATTTTTTAAAGCTATAACTATCCTTTAGAGATATATACAGCAGTATAAATATCAAGCACTCCAAATTATAAATATGTGATAAAAATATATCTATTACTATATATTTCCTACTTTTTACTTACATATTCATTCATCTGCAGGCATACCCTCCAGGGAAGCCAATGACTTGAAGGTTGAAATTAAGCCAACAACTGAACAAAAATCTACAATTACTCAATCTGAATCATCAGAATTATATATTGGCCCTATATTGTAAGTGAATATACATTATAGCTTTAAATAAACATCTAGTAGAATTTAAATGCAAATTAAAACACTTGTGTGTTAAATATAAGTTTGAAAATGAAACAACAAAGATTTTTCATATTTTGCTCAATCATTGTACAGTGTCTTTTGAAAAATAAATTTTCTGTAAACTAACTTCTATATGTAAATTATTACTTAAACTGTACTTATAAATTAAGAAATTAAAGTTTCAATGGCAGACATGAATGTCTGAACGGAAACTATATATTTGTGGAAGAACATGTGTTCTATTATGTTAAATTTGAAATTAATTTGTGACAAAAAATAATGTAGATTTGTAACAAAAGGTGTTTTTTTTTAAACAAATATATTTTTTTTAATTTCCTTTTTTATACATAGTGTAACATTTGGCATTATAATTTCACGTGCATCTATGGGTAATGTACACATGAAATTGTGTGTATAGCTAGCCCATTGCTAGCAATACACCCTATCAGGTAGACCTTCACGCGGTTCCCCTGGGAATCATCGTGATTAATTCTAGTGGAATTCGTCACGATGGGCTAACTGGCCTGCTTTCATCGTCGCCTATCATCCCTCACTGGTGCTCCGTTAGCGTATACCGATAGCGGGGGCGGGCTTATTCCATTATCACCCATTAAAAATGGGGGGAAAGGAATTGTTAGCAATGGAGTTTGACAAACCCCATTGCTAAAAATATGCTTTATTAGGTCGACCTCCACGTGGTTCCTCCTGGAAACCATCGTGAACAATTCTTGTTGAATTCGTCACGATGGGTTAACTGACTTACTTCATCCTCACCTATCATCCTTCACTGGTGGTGGTTACCATAAAAAAAAAAACATTAAAAAAATGTCTACAAAGGATCTGAATAATCAATATCACATTTTTTATATTGTATGACTTATATAAAACCTAATTGTATGTACTAAATCTAAATTTCCATAAAAAAGTACTCTGTCATTGTAGTTATTAAATGTTGTTTTTTTTTTAATTCTCAGGTACCCGCCTTCAATGAAAATTAATCGTAATATAGAAGACTTCGACAGGGAACCTGACTGGCCTTCAAATAGACTGTGCAAAGAGACTGCTACAAACATTCCTGATAATTTAGATGCTGTGTTTCCTGTATTTTTGCCTTTTGAAAATAAGGGTTTAAGGTCAGGATTTTAAAAGATCTGCGATGTATTAATTTAAATTAAATTAATTACTGTAACTTTATAAATGTAGGTGGCTTAAAATTGTTTCTTGTGTACTCAATAAATTTTCCATAGATAATAAAAGGGAATCTTTTAGAGAAAGTGGTGAATAGTGGGTAATGTGTTGCTGAATTGATAAAAGATATATATTAAACTATAGAATGGTTTCATTGTTGGTTAATTTCTAAACTTTATTGCATAAAAAATATTAGTTTGAAATATAATTGTGCGAATCTATGGTACAGCGATATAAAAGTTTTTGCAGCAAAGAACTAACTCAGAAAAGATATATTGTCATAGTCGTAGAATACTGACAAATCTGTCAAAGATTACATATAAAGATCCGTCAGTATTCTATGATTATGACGATGTGGAGAAATATAAAGCTTTCATTCATTTGTTTAAAATTAGTCTCTAAGAATTTTATATCAGTTTCTTTTTATGATTTCTCACTTTCACTTATTACTTACTACTTGAAATTATGAACAATCTAATGGTCTGTTTTTAAATTATTAATGGTATCCCGTAGCTTCACTCGTAGTTATGTTGTAATGTTTAACAGCCTTATATCTTTAAGATATGAGCTATCAAATGCAATAATAATTATTCAAATCTGACTGATAGTTTCAGAGATTAGCTCGTTCAAACAAATAAACTTTTTCTCTTTGTTATATAAGTATACATATGTATATATATATTTTATACTTCCAGACTGAGGTCATTGTTGACCGATAAAATAGGCGTGCCAGCCAGCGTCGAACACGATGTCCCATGGCATCCCCCTGTGTGCCCTCAAGACAAAGACTCCACAGCGTTTACTAGCAAGAAATCGCAAAAGTAATTATTATCTATTAGAATATATGTTCATGATTGGTCCTTTACAAGGTAGGCAGTGAGAACTAAGAGTAGTATTGTATATAAATTAATTTAATCTCAGGAATTCTAATTTTTTTTTTATTTTCATATGTTGTTTCAAGTCATTGAATACATTTTATTAAAATATATATATATATATATATATATATATATATATATATATATATATATATATATATATATATATATATATATATAGTTTAAAGAGGAAATATTGTTAAAAATCTATTCATTGTAATAATATGTAATCAATTACAATTAATTCTAATTAGTTTGTTCCAACTATTATATGGTTTGATTTATGGATAAAAAAACGAATAATTATTTTGTCCCTTTCCATTTATATTCCAATTTTTTGCAAACAGAAAAAGCAAAACAAGTATCTGAAAAAGATTACAGTCGTGCAGAAATATTTAATTTTTAAAACATGACACTTAGCATGATTATTTACATATTTAAATTATATTTAAAAAAGAATTGCAAAGAATTGTAATTATTTCATTATAAGTAAATGTTTATAGGTACATTCCTATTGTTTTAAAAATTTTACACATGTCAATATTTTAAATTTCAGACAGCAAATAGTTACAGAGGTGCAAAATACAGACTATCTAAGACAGAAACTCCTTGAATACGCAAGCGACGGTGACGTAGAGGCTATGAAACGTATGCAGGACGCTGAGATCGGCCAGCGAATATATGCTGTTGTAGAGATGGTAAAGTACTTTAAATATAAATAGCAACTGGTTAGATTAGAAACTACAGTATAGGGTTCTTTAAAAAAAGGTATATTAAGGTTCCTTCAGGGTCGGTGACGCGCACGTGACACCTCTAGTGTTGCAGGCGTCTATAGGCTACAGTGACCGTTTACCCTCAAATGGGTTGTATGCTTGCTTGCCACCTTTGGAGTATGAAAATTAATCCTATTATACTACTATAGTTACTATTATTATTATAATATTTTTACAAATTTTATAAACGTGAAAGTGAGTTTGTTTGTTTGTTTGGTACCTTATAGCGCCTTTACGGCTTAACCAATTGGTATGAAATTTAGTATACATGTACATACGTATATATGCGACGGAGAAAGTACTTATTTCGGTAACACAGGCAAAATCGCAGGCAAAAAAGCATGTCATTTTTATAAATGAAAAGTTTGTAAAAATGTTTGTACACAATTGGTCTTAAACGAATTGAAATTTGGTACAAAGATATACTATATCTTAGATTAATATTCTAGGATACTTTATACCGAGTGGAAGGGACAGGTCCGCTAAAATAAAAATAGCTGATTCAGATGAATGGTCTAATTCAGATGAATGGCCTAATTCAGATGGTAGATTATTTTCCCATCGGAAATGTACCACAGCCATAGAGTTAACGATTCTTAGTTTTGACGGCGAGAATAATATTTTAAATTTTACAATCCACACGATGCGTAATACGTTAACTACGTATTGTAACTGTGCCAGTGTATACCTACGTACACTACGCACACACCGGCACAGTCTAGAGCGCTTCTTCGTAGGTAGTTTTTGTACGCTTATAGCGATGACCTTACACAGCTGATTCCACGCGTCCTCCACCGAATAATGGTCTGAATTCACTGTTTCAGTTTTTGCCAACCTGTCCCTTACACTACTATACTGTGTACTATAACTAGCTAACTTTTATATTTAAAATTTAAAATTGAAATGCGTCTTCGTGATCGGGATAACCTGTCTTTCTAGCCTATGTCTTTCTGCATCCATGCACTACGAGTATGTGTATACTAAATTAAATTTGACAAATTTCATAACGATTGTAGTTAAGTCGTTAAAGCATCAAATAGTATTAAAAAAAGTTCAGGCATTTATTATATTAGTAAGTGAGTAAAGCCGTGGTACACAATTAATAGTTGGGTATATCAATGTGAGTTTAATTTTCTTGAATATTCAACTTATTTTTTTAGGATTTAGCACCAAAATGGCTCGCTTACACTCTCGCCTCACTGTACTGGCGCGTACGAGGCAATAATGCGAATGCTCTAAACTGCCTTCTGACAGCGAGTCGCTCTGTGGAACAAAAATACAAGGACATCGTGCTGGCGTCGTTGGCTTCTGTTTATTTGGAGATGGGCTACTTTGATGATGCACTATCGGCAGCCGAGGCAGCGTTCAGAATTAGTTTATATGAGGTTAGTTCGCCTCACTATTGAATCATGTATATCTCAAAATATTATATTAAATTGCAGAAATTACCATTTCAACAGTTTGATCTGATCAGATTTGAACTTGTATTTCCTGGCAATCCGGACTGATTGTGTTTTTCGTTAGTGAAGGAAAAATTATCAAGTCACAATTATCTACATAGATAAACAGTTTTTTTTTGTGTTGTATTAACACGAAGGAAAGAGAAGAATTAATGCGCCACTTTAACTTAAATAAATTGAATGTTGGTCTTATTCAATCTATGTTAGCTAAACTTAAACCAGAAATTTTTGAACATCTCTGTAAATTATTGATGCCCATTTCCGCGTCTAGGGAAAGTAGATAAAGGTTTGTTTCAGAAATCAGTTCAGGGTACAATAGGACTGATATACCTGAAGAAGGCAAAAGCCTTTAAAATAATATTAAAAAAAAATGTTCTATGGCGAATTTTTAGTTAATTGACAGTTATCGGTTAACGCAGTTGTTATTTTTTAGTAGTGATTGTAATTTTAAATTATATATCTTTTGTATATATAACATTGTTATAATATATGTTATTACATAGTGAAATTGCCATATTAATATCTATTGTTTTTTAAATATTGTGTTTACCTCATCCCAAGATTCATATGAGTAATCAAAAGATATTTTTTTAAATGGATGATAACCGAATGGTAACCTGATCCACCTGTGTGGTTGTCGACCTGACAGAGTATATTGCTAGTAATAGGATTGTTAGACCCCCACTTTACAATCCCTTTTCCCCATTGAAAAGCTGGTTGATTCAACTTTGCAATCGGCACAATTTGCAATGAAATACTTTTTGTTTTAACAGCCTGCTACAAACTTTATACTAGCCGAGCTGAACATGCTGAAGAAACATCGGAATACGCATATATTCCATTTGAAACAAGTAATACGCGTGGAGCCGGGGTTTATGGGTGGACTTGCCCGCAAACTGCTCAATGGATGGGCATGTTTACTCAAAGACATCAACTCAGTACACGAATTAGGTATGATTAATTAAGCATGCTTTAGCACAGTGTAAGGAAAAGCTAGTGGTCTAATCCTTATGGTATTCCTTAATCGATTACATGACATATATTGGGTGTGATAAATATTGAACATGCCACAGGCTACCGAGTAAGGAACAACAAGTAGTCCAACGCCTCTGGCATTTCCAATTGTACATGACAATTTGGGATGCATTGCTTTGTATGTACGACATGTCTCTAGGAACACTGGTGGGAACCATTTTTTCAATGTTGCAAATGATTTGATTAAAAATATCCCAAATCAGGTCGTTTTATTTAAGATGTTTTTGGGAACTATTTTCATTTTCTTATCTAAAATAAATATTCATATTGTGTATAATTTAATTAATATCCATATATTAATCAAAATGGCGGCCACTTTAAAATAGATTATAAGTCTATTCTCAAATATAAATAAGTTAATTATCGAAGGCGAGTATTATTGTGAATAATTTGTTCCGTTTACACCGTTCTTTAATATATATTAATAATTATTTTGTATAATTTTTATTTTTCAATTTAATTGTATAATATAAATTTCTTCCAAATACTTAGTAATAGTACATCCTGATTTACACAAACACGGATTAAAAAAGAGTTTGTTTTTGTCGAAGCATTTATATAGAGACATTCCATTTATATAATCTAAAAACGTAATGCCTCACATTACGATAATAAAAAAAAATCCATTTCAGATTTAAATGAAGGAGATATTTGTACCAAAGTGGAGCCGGGCATGAGTATGGTGTGTGAGAAAGGCGGCACAAATTGTCACGTGACGAAAATACAGTGTGTCAGTAGTCAAGAAAGAGGTAGCACTAATTATTTGACAAACTAGCTACCCGCTCTGGTTACATCTGATTTTTTTTTATGTAAACATCCTTGCATTAATTAACTTTTTATGTACCTATCCTGTTGCGTTTCCTCACTATTTATCTATGTATAAGCTAAATAGATATTTAATAATTTACTTATGTTTTTTTTTGTACAATTTTGTGTTTTTTTTTTCTTTATATAATGTAAATTTATATACTGTCAATGGAATTATTTATAAATAACTATCGAGTTTAATAAGATACAATGGCATTGAGTTATTGCTAATTTGAATATGAGATTAAATTATAAGTACAACTTTTGTACAGTAAAATTAGGAAATATGATGTTATTGTTGGCGATTTATGAAAAATAAGGTATTTAAACCAGGTTTTATTATTAACAATTCATATAATCACCTATTGTGATTGACTGATATATGTTTACTTTTTAAAAATACTATTAAAATGTCTGTATTATGTGAAATACTTGAACTCTAGAACATTTATTTATTTTGGTTTATTTCTTTACTGCCACAAATCACTTGTCGTTGTAATGCAAAAAAGAATTTGTAATGAGCAAAATGTAATCTAGTTACACGTCATGAACTGATTAATTAATTTCTCACTAATTAGAAGTATCAATAGATACTTTATAAAATAATTATCATGCTATCGAACTTATTATACTTAAGGGCAATGATGCAAGGCAACTACTGTTTTGTTGGATTCTATCTCTAAATCAGTGTGTTTTCCATATCTTAATAATTTATTTATATATTAATAAATATATAAAATAATCTTTCTCATCAATAAATCTTACTGTCAATCAGATGTGCTGGTGTTGCCTTTGCAAAGCAATTTAAGAACTAAAATCATTATTGTTCGATTTTTATTCTTTCCTATACACAAAGAGCATTAAATTATAGTTATATATAATAGCATACAAAGGCGAGCTTATTTTTAGAAGAAATTTTTTTCTAGCAAATCTAACACACACAAATACACACGCGCACGCTCGCACGCACGCACGCACGCACGCACGCACGCACGCACGCACGCACTCACTCACGCACGCACGCACGCACACACACACGTACGCACACGCACGCACACGCACACACACACACACATGTTAGGTTTGCTAGTATAAGTTTGGTAGGATATTATAACAGACCGACAGTTGATTCGTAATTACAGATATTCGCACTAATATTATAAACTAGTTCTCTCTTTTGCCATCCTGTTACATGACATCGTTTGTTTGACAATTAATAATTGTTCGCGAAGGGTTTGGGCCGTCTTTGCTGTCATAGGTAATTTAACCCCCAGGACTGCTACTCGCTTTTATAATGTAGTGTCCATATCGAATTTTAACACACCTAGGCAGTGTAAAATGAGGCCTTAACACCATATGGCTATCTATTATATTGTATGGATTATTATTGTACTACGACGGCGTTAAATGACTGTCGACAGAGGGCAGCACACTAGTTCGAATGTTAGAACTAAAAGATGACAACGTACAGCGTTCGTCCGATCAAATGGACGATAGCATATTCGATGACTTCATAGACAATATGCCAGCTCAACGAACGATGAAACAGGCTCACGAACAGAATTATAAAACGATGTTGAAGGTTATGGACAGTGCTTTACAAGGATGCGGTCCGAGAGGGTGTAATGGTGAGTGGCATTATATGTAGCTTACTTCTAAGGTTAAAAAAATATTATTATTAGGTACCCATTTCTAGTTAACGTTATTTGTTCATTGAAAATTGTTTTGTTGGACATTGTAATCTGTTGTTATTACATATTTGACAGATATACAACCGGAAGATTTAGCAATGAAAGAAGAGGACTGCACGTATCAACATTTACAGCTCGGATATTGGTTGCACATTTTATGTTTTAAGCAACTACTCACTGACGCAAATTTGAAGTGAGTAAAAAATTAAGGGGAGAATAATACACTTTTTTTTTTTAATATCCTTTTGTCATTATACTTTTTGTACATTATTGAACTAGTGAAGTAGTTTTTGAAAAATCAATTACTTTTTGTCCATTATTATATTAGATATATACATATCACTTTTTACTATGAAATTTTGTAAACAGGTTTTTTAGTTAACGTAGGTGAACCATAAGAAGATATTTTGAAAATTCAGCCCCCTAAGAGGGTACAATGGGGGTTGAAAGTTGAACAGACATGAGATATTTTAGATTTAGGCTTTTGGTTCAAAATTAAAATTAATATGTTTATAGGCTTTTGAAGAATTCACTTCTAAAGGGGTGAAAGTTAAGAGCAAGTAAAGCTAGTATTAGCGAGGGCTAGTATTTACATAGTTTTCTCTACTCCTTGCCTAACCAGACAGCTGAATCTTAAATTAGTCACCGTAGTGGTCTCATTCTAAATTCAATAAAACCGCAAGTTTATAAATGATATTTTTATTTTAGATTTCCATCGGAGATAGCATCGATGAACCCGTCGAATAAAAAGATACCGGAGTGTCGTCTTTTCGAACCCTCTGAGGACTTCTACTTGGAGCGCGTGAGCCGCGTCGACACGGACGGCTGGGAGCCGGTGCTCAGCCTCATGCACCAGTTCGCCGAGGTATTCGACTTCTACGACTACGTCACGCTCGGCGCGAAGATCGCCAAGTACGTTGACTCTGTAAGTGAAAGATGTTTGAATTACAAGTAATACTTAATGTTTTCTAATTTCGAGGTATGTACTTGTAGATACTTTTGTTAGATTATCAATAACTCTCCTTAGTAGGTACTTCTTTTTTCGACTTATTAGGCAACCTCAATATATATTTTTTTTATTTATTTTATTTTATTTGGAATAACAACATCTTTTTATAACATTGAATACATATTAAATTACTTTTACTACATATTAGCCAATTATAGTTATCCACAGCGCAAAACATAAGCATCCGTTAAGCAAATAAAATCATATTTCACAACAATATCAGTATGGTGCATCCGCTACAATGCTCGCACTGTAGGTATACTGCGCGAACACTACAGCCGATGATCCTACAAACCATCCCGAGACCAATAAATACGTCACACTTGCGCTAACTTCATGCGCTGCTAGGTAGTGTTGTGGTAAGTATTTAGATCAGAACTTAGCAATTTCCACAGCAAAGTTGGTTACCTTATTCAAGTCCTCCTTTGTACAAGATGAAGGGCACAAATGACAGGATAGGAGATGAGACATCGTTTGCCTTCTAAGATATAACATGTCATTTCACCAAGTTGTACCTGTAGCGGCCAACCTGGGTTTGCAATCTATTAAGGGATTTCCAGATTGGCCACTGCAAGTCACCACCTGGGGGTAGGCGCTCAGCCGGTCGAACAAAATGTATGTACTTATTGGATACACATATTTAAGTGTGACCGATAATGACAAAATTTGTTCTCTGTTGAGTTAGTTTCGCTCTAATTTGGTGATTTTTTTATGGTGATAATAAAGTGGTAGTAGTAGGTTTAACACTTATTTGGGAGTTTAACTTCGTTATGCTTAGAATAATAAGAAAATTAATATAAAAGTTACCTAGGTCCTAGTTATATACATAGATTATATAGATAGAGCATCAAGCCTCAAAAACGGGTAAATTTTTGTCAGCAAAATTTTAAATTAGTTAACTCCTTTTTTTATCAGTGCTCTATATACTTACGCACACAATGTATCTTGACGTATTATTTAATGAATAAAATAAGTATTTACTCATTAAAAATATGTAAAAATTATAAGACAAAATAAATATATAAATTATAAAGGAATCACTCATTTGTCACGCAAAATTGTATGATAAAGTTGACCCGCTTTTTTCGAAGACACTATCTATATAATCTATGGTTATATGGAATGTGTCGATAGCTTTATGTGTTGACGTGTCGTGTTCGCACAGAAGCCGCGGTCGTGGGCGGGCGCGGTGGCGGCGGGGTGGTGGTGCGGCGCGGGCGGGCGCGGCGCATGCGCGGCGCGCTGCCTGGCCGCCGCGCTCGCGCTTGCGCCCGCGCCGTACGCCGCGCACACGCTACGCCCGCTCGCCGCGCTGCTGCACATGTAAGTATATGCACGCGCACGCCCGCACACTCACGTAAATGCACGCACCCACACGCACGTACACGCATGCACACATACGCTCTCACACACGCACATGCACGTAAACCCTCACGCACTCGTACTGTTAAGCGAATTGTGCAATTCGTTTTACAGTACGAGTTCGTGAGGATTACACACAGATTATAAATACATAATTTTAAATTAAAGACGTTTTTTGTATTATAATATTATATTCCATTTTATTGTGTTCGTTTTAAGGCTTGTTCTGTGCAACAAAACGCAATAGCAATTTAGCAAAAAGTAAAAAAAAAAATTGTGAATTTACAGGGTACAGAGGAATAACACCTTAGACTTCAGAAATGGCAATGCATGGGGAGTATCATGGGTGAAACAGTATACTCTGTTATGTCCGTAGTACGTTTTATGTCTATAGGCAACGGTTATCACCTTCCATCAGGTGGGCCGTCAGCTTGTTTGCCATTCTTATTTGCATAAAAAAGTAGAGCGTCAATTTTTAGAAAGGCGATTGACATTTGTTATTATTATTGATTTATATATGTATAATTATCATTACTATTATCATTACCTCTATATCTCATGATAATGATTAATTTTTGTCGCTTATAGCAAGTTATATCTTAAAAAGTGTTTGATATTTGACCTACTTCATATTTTTGTAATTTTAACGAGCAGCCACTTAATCATTCCTAATTATTGAGTTTATGTTATAAACAATGAAATAATTTATGCAGGCAATCAAAACAAAAAGATGCCAAGGATATCGCTTACCTCACCTTCTACATGCAGCCGAAGAGTAAGATAGAGGCTTTCCTGGTAGCTGTCTCACATACTTACATGGTAAATGCTGTGTTTTGCATAACAGGTATTATTAAAGCCGAATACTTACCGCAAATATTTAATTCCGTGTTTTATATTTAAAAAAAAATTCAACATTTTGGCACGACAAATGTCAGCAGTTGGTTTAAAATGAGTGCAAGATTTGGACGAATGCGCTCTACTTTTAATACCGTTCCTAATCTCTATATGTTTTGTTTAGTTTTTTTTTTTTAAATCGATGTTCCTGATTCGTTATATTAATTAATAAAGTCGTATAACAGGAGGAGTACGAGCAAGCAGTGTGGATGTACCGGTACGCTTTGACGTTCGACGATAAGTTCCTGCCAGCTAAGGCGTGCCTCCACGCCACCATGTGTCTGATGTTGTTCGGAGAGACCAGTAAGGCCAAGCTTAAAGAATTAGTATAAGATTAGCTCAAATTAAATATTTCATGCCTCAAATACTTGACTTACCATATGATTAAATTGACAAGGTGGATGTAGACTAAAATAATATAGAACAAGAATCAAGTATAAACAAAGATAATATAGGAAATTGTTCGCGAATGTCGTAGAGCAACACTAAGAAGTTGCGTCTTAATATGTTTTTACTAATAAAAACTGGTAAAATATTGGTATTGCAGATTCGCTCGCTTGGTCTAATCTAAATCCACCTTTATATATTTTATATTTATATGAATTTACTGGGTACAGAGGAACAACACCTGAGTCCTCAGGAATGGCAACGTATGGGGGGTATCATGGGCGAAACAGTATACTCTGTTATGTCCATAGTACTGCTCACGTCTATAGGCGACGGTTACCACTTTCCATCAGGTGGACCGTCAGCTTGTTTGCCATTTTAAGTTGTATATAAAAAAATCGACTGAATTTTAATTCCTTATCTATTATATTGAATACTTATAGAAATAAATTATTGGTTTGATATACACCGAACATAATATAAATTCCATAGTTATGTTAATAATTTAAGAAAGTCTTAAACTGGTCACTGTTGTACTGTATTACATTACAATCTGTATGCTATTATCAAATAAAAAGACATATTTTAAAATATAACAATATTTAACTCATTGTCTATTATCAATCATAGTTCTCTATTAATATCTATACATATAAAAACATTATTTTAGTCTATGGGTACATATTTTAAATGAATACTTAATGATTGTGATAGTACAATAATTTCATATCGTTTATAAACTATTATTCCACTTAAAAACATGAGTTATTACAATATATACACAATAATTACAATAATACTGGCTGATTTTTAAATAAACGTTTTTTAGTGTTTTATAATAGAATAGTGTTATGTGAGTTTATAGTTTGGTGCCTTTGTTAATTTTATTATTCATATAAAATTACTCTGCGTGTTTCATTTGATATATTTCGCATACATAATGAGAAATAAAAATCATACTACCTAATCATTCCACTTGATTTGAAGAAAAGTACAGATGTCATTATTTGGGATAATGAGAAATTAGTGTTGGTATGTATTTTTTATTAAGTATATATGTATGTATAATGTAAAATATGTATAATGTAGGTAATATGAGTATCATTTGTATGTTATTTTTGAATTATTGTTTTAATTATAGTATTTATGCATGTTTACCAGAGGGAGACTTTGTACAAAAGTCGTTTGCTTGGGTACCTCTGTCCCATTCGTGTTTCAACCGTAAAGCAGTTGTGTTTGCATGGCTGTGTTTCGGTTTGAAGGGTGGGATATGGCGTGAATTTACAGGGTACAGAGGAATAACACCTGAATCCTCAGGAATGACAACGCATGGGGGGTATCATGGGCGAAACAGTATACTCTGTTATGTCCATGGTACTGCTCATGTCTATAGGCGACGGTTACCACTTTCTATCAGGTGGGCCGTCAGCTTGTTTTTAGTTGTATAAAAAAATTGTATGAGCAACAACTATGTCTATGATCCATTATATTTTTTATTTACTGTCGTTGTTCGTGATGTCACGCATGGCCACCACAGAATATTAGCGCTGTAGCAATTAATTTGCTACAGGACATGCTGTGTGGCGGCCATGTTGGCAATAACTAATATTTGTTTTCTATTGTTAATTAATGTAACTCTTTTTGTTGTTTGGCAATAAATGTTTTCTTTTTTCCTTTCTTCTTCTAATTTAATATTTGTTTATTACGTTGCACCGTCAATTATATTTTTTGTCATTCCAGTCTACGGTTGACTAGTAGAAACACCATATAGTGTTAAGTCCACTATTTACATTTTCCAAATAAATAATTTTCCAAATAAATAAAAATATGTATTATATTTTTTGTATATAAATATGTATTATATTGTATTATTAATATTAAGCGTTGTATATTTTATTATATTTAGGAAGTATATACAAAAAATTTCTTTGTCATAATAAATTAAAACAATAATATTTATTAGTAAATATATAGTATAAAATTATTTTTAATAAATGTGTGATTGATAAATTTATTCTAAATTTATCTGAAGGCTCGGTATTCCAAAATAATGACATTGTATTTAAATTAAGAAGTTTTTTAAAGGAACAGTGAAGTTACGGCCTCCTGTTTAAGTTTGTTGGTTTTCCATTAATATTTTATTTAGACAAGGGGTTTTAACACTACGTGTTATTCTGATTCTTATTAAATAGATTTTGTAATAACATAAAATGATAATTTTAAATGACTAGCTCTCTTAATACCTACATTTAGAAATTGAAAAATAAGATCGGCAGGTAGGTAGTTTTGAGATAAAAATATATAAGAAGGGAGATTTTTCGTTCTCAAGTATTGGAAATATCTTGTAGTAAAAATTGCATACCTTATTATATTTGACAAGAGATAGAACAATATACATATTTTCAACCGATTTCAAAAAGATTGAGATTCTCAATTAGGTTGGATTTTTTTATGTTTGTTACCTCATAACTCCGTCTGTTATAAACCAATTTGTAAAATTATTTTTTTTATATGAAAGGATATTTACAGATTGGTTCCATAGAAGTTTTATCAAATTCGGTTCAATAATTTAGTTTTTAAATTAAAATAACTTTGTGAGACACATTCTTAAATTATAGGAAGATCTTAATAATCTATACTTTTTGTTGTTCATAGTTCTTATTAATATATTGCGTTTTATTTGTTTTACGTGCTTGCTGTTGTATCTACATGATTTGTAGTTATTAAAGACTGAAAAATATATCTTTATGTACCTAAATTGGATATATAAATTTATAATTATACATATGCGATAATTGTTGTTTGCTTTTATTTATTTACCCTACATTGTTTATGTTTAAATCTATTGATTTTAGAGAGAATGCCTATGTTATGCAAAGTCATGATAACTTTGACTTTCTCAATAACTCGATAACCATAATAACTGCTAGTAACATTTTTAAACATTAGGAGATTTCAAGTAACGAAAGCTAACTCACAAATATTAAAAGTAAAATTTAAAACCTGTAATAAAAAAAAAAGTTCTATTTCGATATAATGCAAAAAACGCCATCTGTTATACTTGTGTACATTCTTGAATGAGGAGCTCGGAATTAGGCGCTTTAGTTTCAAACATAACCTCCAGCTAGCGTTACTATACTATAATAAAATGTCGGTAAGTGCTTAAAATATAAATACCAAATTATTTAAAGGGAATCTTGACTAAACTACATTTTGACGATATTGTATAATGTTAGTTATATTTTCCCCATTTGTAAATTTATTTCGGTGATTCTTAGTAAGTGTACTGTCATCTGTGTTAAAGTCAGTTTTTTTTATGAAAAAAATATGAATTAATAATAATATATTTATATTAATGAATAATTTTAAGTTATATTTTAAAATGTTGGTGGTAGATTTATATCTACGATAGAATCATTACAATAAGTTTCCTATTATTTAAATATCCCAGGTAGGTATTCTTGATGATTATCTGGTAATTAATTTATAAATATAATCGATTTAACTGGTAGCTACCATCTACGTATTCAAATCGAAGGACAATTTAGAGATTTTTATTACATCATTGGGAATTAACTGCTTTTACTATTTCACAGGTATTTAATTATTTTAATTACATCCTATAGACCTTACAGACAAAGGCATGAATTAATGGAAATTGTATAGTTCCCTTCAAAGAATTATACAGATTAACAATATGTACAAAAAAATTAATTACATAAAAGCAAGATGAAGAGGCAACAATGGGCGGTCTTATCGCTAAACAGCGATCTCTTGCAGGCAACCTTATAATGGAGAGGGTTAATTAAAATTGTTTCTGATTAAGTCATAACACAAAAATAATAACAAAAAAGGGAGAAAAAAGGGGCTAAAGATAAATTTAAACGCAATATAAATAATATAAATAATAATATGCTTTCACAATAATACTGTTACTAAGAAATGTTGTAGTACAAAATGTCTTCTAGGCTAGGATTGTGCCTTGTTCATTAATTGCGACACGTAGCCGTTACCTTCTTTTTTATACCACGAAGGTGGAAAACAAATATATAACGCGATGGTAAACGGTTACTGTAGCCTAGGATGCCAGCAACATACATACCACCTACTCATTCATATTACATACATCTGGGAGCAATAAAACGTTTAAATAAGCGGTGGGTGTTTTTAGTATTGTTACATTCTTAGCTGGCATAGTTATTAAGAAGTTTATTTGTCACAGGTATACCTATTTTTTTAATGGGTGATAATGGAATGGTAACCCCGCCTGCGCTATCGGTATACCCTGGCAGAGCTCCAGTGAGGTGATGATGAAAGCAGGTCAATTAGTCCATCGTGAAGAATACCGCTAGAATTAACCACGATAGTTTCCAGGGGGAACCGCGTGGAGCTTGACCTGATGGGGTGTATTGCTGGCAATGGGTCAGTTACTAACAATCTTCATTACTAATAATCTCTTTCCCCACTACCTATTTAGTTAGGTCTGCCGTCTACCAAGGTGTAGCTTCATCTGAAGAAGCATGAGTGGTTGTTCGATTATGCATGTTACAATGTGACAATTGCTTCTGAAGTTCTGATTCCATGTAAAACTATTTCAGGTGATAAGTTGTACCTATACTGTACTTGACAACATTTAGCTTTGCTACCTTATGCATAATATTATATCGAAGTAAAAATAGGTTTAAAAATATATTGTATAAGTAATTACTTATTAAAGGAAATTTATTATTCCGATACATTTTTTTTTGCAAGAGCACTTGTGACTTCTGTCCTGAGTTAACACAGAGACAATATGGTATATAAATGCAATCAACCGAAAAGAGAATGTTCCACACTCAACGGTTGGTCGCACCATACCGATTTGGTAAATGCCACATTCGCTTTATGGAAAATTCATTATACAAAAAATTATATAAACTGAGCATGGACACATTTTGAAAGTATCTACGAAGACACATTTCTTTAAAATTTAGGTTTTATCCTAGATAAAAAAAGAAAACGTTATCTTCATGTCACTTTAGAGTTATAATTCTAAAATAATAAAACCAACTACCAATTATGAAACGTCAATAATAAGTGTCACAACTGTTGAAATGTGAGATTTCGTCTTCCGCTGGCCCATGGCGTGTTGATAATGAAGCACCCACAATAACTATTGGAACACGCACAAGAGTATATCACGCTTACTAGTCCTGTGCAGTGACCAATAGTTGTTTTGGGCTTCTTTTTGTTCCGTGATCTTCTTGATCTTCAGTAAAGTTTTGCAGCTGAAAAGTAGAAATGCACCAGTTTTGAATTTCACAAATAGATGCATATTATTGTTGTAATAGGTATATTATTATCTAATTATATAAGCTGAAATCATTTTAATCCTATTAAATTTAAAAATGTGATTTATATTATACAGTATACTCTGTCATAATCATGGTACTGCTCATGTCTATAGGCGACGGTTATCACTTTCAATCAGGTGGGCTGTTAGTTTATTTGGCATTCTAAATTAAACAAAAAAAATTATAAATGCGAAATTTTGTTTTTATGAATGGATATTTGTAACGCTTTCCTGCAAAAATTACTGAACAGAATTGAATGAAATTTAGTCCCCGAGTAGGTTATATCCTAAGTCAGTATATAGGATCCTTTACGTATTTACTGGTTCACGGAGGCCATGCCGCAAGATACAGCTAGTATCAAGTATGTTGAACTTTTCTTACTACGTAGACGTGTCTTAAATGGATATTAAGTAAGTTTAATTTAGTTGAAAAGTGATTTAAATAGTGTGTACAAAAACAAAACATCACAGAATGTAAATGTAGGTAAAACTTTTCTTCAAACCTTCTTATTAAGATACGTTCTGTGAAAGTTGTACATACATGTATAGATGCGTCACATCTATCTTCCATTAGAATAAGTAGAAACAATAGAATGTCAAATTTCAATCGGACTTCTTTTGCTTCCTCTACAATCTATCGCTCTATTTATACAAATTTGCTGATTACCAAAATATCTCTTGTCCAAAAAGCCGTTGAATCTTGAACGACTTGGTCGAATGATAGAAACATAACCTGGTCTTCTGGTGGCGTATCCAACTATTTAATTTCGGTTATAGAAATCAAGAATAGCGATAGCATGATCTGTAGTTACATAGATAGTCTTCGTGGTACGACAGATTGTATAATTTTCTACGATACCTAGTTATTTGTTTCTTATTTAGATTTTGTATTTTGTTTATATGAATCTAATGTAGTAATATAGGCAGCGGTAGACTTCGTTCGAATATTTTGTAATCTACGAGTATAATTTTAAGTTTCTTTCAACGAAGGGAAGATAGGACTTATCAGTAGATATTTAAGTTCTACTGAATGTAATGGAAATTATATAGCTTTATTGCATTGTTTGAATAGATATTTCTATCTAATTACTGTCCCTGTCACTAAGAAATTGCGCTTGCAGAGTTATATTTAGGTTTCATAGGTAAGATATGGCAGTAGAACTAGGTATAAAATACAGATACCTATAGGGTACGATGACTTCGTACCTTAGACCTGAAGAATAGCAACTTATTTGTTTTAATAAATAAATAATAATAATGGATTGGTAACCCCGCCTGCGTAATTGTTATGTGCTGGTGGGACTCCAATGATGCATGAAGAATATCATGGGCGTCACAGTATATTTTATGAGGTA